TAGTTCCGAGTGATTACTTTATTGTATTTAAATGATTAAACTTTGACATGCTGACTCACATATCATAGTTCAAAAACATTCTTGAATAACACTGTATTTATTTATTATTTATTTTATGATTTAATGTAAATTTAAATATATTAACTTTTTAAATTATATTTTAAAGAAGTAAAGAAGATTTGCACGGGTTGGGAAAATTTCCAAAAATGGAGTGGAGCTGAAATAGCTTGGTGTGGCTTGTTTCCAATCCCTGGGCTCTGGGTTCAAATCCCGTCACTGCAAGGGTTACCCCCATGTCTAAAACACATTCCACTCCCGAAGTACAGACTTTGTGTCTAAAGCATTGTTCCGCCCAGTAATTGGCGAGTTTTGTACTTGTTGGATGTGTGTGAAAGGAAGAGAAGTCTAATCTTTTATTTTTCACTTGAGACAGTATTGCATGAACATTAAAAAAATGTGTCTATCCATATTTACAAACATATTTAGTATTTATTTAAAAATATACTAAAGGTATAGCACACTGCAAATAGTAAATTAAATAATATCAGTAGCTATGATAGTATAGAAAAAAACAAACATTATTGTTCAGTGTGCTTATAAATGTTGAAATTCAAGTATGCATGTCATTTACTTAATAAATAGAAAACAAACACCTCCTAAACAGAACACATCAGTCCCATATAAATTTATACTTCCTTAAATTAAAAGGAAGTACATTCTTTAAAATGTTAATATTTTAAATAAATATAGGGTAGCATAATTATGTAGATAATTACAGAGAATTTTAATGAATTATCACTCACATTTACATGTTATATCTAAATTCCAAAGAATTAGTTTTTATGCACACACCAACATCTGTCTCTTATACACATCTAGATGTGGATAAGAGACAGTAACATACACACTATTATGTGTCAGGACTTCCTTCCAGGCCTGGGTCTAACAAAACCAATCATGATTGTGATTTTAAAAGAAGGTGCTGGGTCGCTGAGTTATAATCATGTACAGAAAAGCTATTAAAGAACTGGACGTGTTGAGTGAAGTTTTTCAGGTTCTGCATATATCGGCAACACCAAAGAATTCCATCTTCGAATACTTAATCTTAAGCATCTAACGAGGAATGATGCGGCTAATTTTGAAAGTCAAATTTAACTCTAAACTATGTGCATAGATTATAAGATTATTATTATAACCAATTCAATAAAACATATATGCTTATCAAATTTATTGGGCAGCCTAAACTTCCATGTTGGTGTGTGCATAAAAACTAATTCTTTGGAATTTAGATATAACATGTAAATGTGAGTGATAATTCATTAAAATTCTCTGTAATTATCTACATAATTATGCTACCCTATATTTATTTAAAATATTAACATTTTAAAGAATGTACTTCCTTTTAATTTAAGGAAGTATAAATTTATATGGGACTGATGTGTTCTGTTTAGGAGGTGTTTGTTTTCTATTTATTAAGTAAATGACATGCATACTTGAATTTCAACATTTATAAGCACACTGAACAATAATGTTTGTTTTTTTCTATACTATCATAGCTACTGATATTATTTAATTTACTATTTGCAGTGTGCTATACCTTTAGTATATTTTTAAATAAATACTAAATATGTTTGTAAATATGGATAGACACATTTTTTTAATGTTCATGCAATACTGTCTCAAGTGAAAAATAAAAGATTAGACTTCTCTTCCTTTCACACACATCCAACAAGTACAAAACTCGCCAATTACTGGGCGGAACAATGCTTTAGACACAAAGTCTGTACTTCGGGAGTGGAATGTGTTTTAGACATGGGGGTAACCCTTGCAGTGACGGGATTTGAACCCAGAGCCCAGGGATTGGAAACAAGCCACACCAAGCTATTTCAGCTCCACTCCATTTTTGGAAATTTTCCCAACCCGTGCAAATCTTCTTTACTTCTTTAAAATATAATTTAAAAAGTTAATATATTTAAATTTACATTAAATCATAAAATAAATAAGTGTTATTCAAGAATGTTTTTGAACTATGATATGTGAGTCAGCATGTCAAAGTTTAATCATTTAAATACAATGAAGTAATCACTCAGAATATTAACCTAATATGGTTTACAATGTGAACTAATATCATGTGGACTTTGATATGTGTGGGTGTATTACTAGGCAATAAATATTCCATTAGAAATCAAACAGTTTCATTTCAAGTAAGACACCTTTACAAAGTATCTAAGAGTTAGACTTTATCCAACAGTTAGGAAGTAGGAGTAGAAAGGTAAGTAAAAGCTCAACATTTCTGAGGAATAAATTTGAAGAGGAGCTCATGATCATACAGAAATTAGATTGATTTATTTTATAGCACTATGAAGGATTGATATGTATTTCCATCCTTTATTTACCCCAACCCAGTACTTTCATAAGGCGAGACTTTTTTTATTGCTTGTTTGTTACTTATTTTCTCAAGATCAACGGAGGAGGGCAGAATAAATGTAAAGATAAAATTTTAGCAAATAGTTTTGCCAAAAACATCCAGAAGAAGGAGAAAATAAAAATAAAATTTGATTGATGAATGTAAAATAGGATGGTTAAATGCTTCAAATTTATATAATTAGGAAGAAATATACATATCTTATTTTTGGAGATTTCAAGGCAGCGGAGGGCATAATAAAAATAAAGAAAAACTTTTATTTTTTTCTGAAATTTCTACTTTTCATGGTGGCAGGTGTGCTAATTGGCCAATTCGCTAAACAAAGTATAAAAAATGTCTCGCCTAACCTTTTTAAGGTTTGTAACATTACAAACTTTATCATCCCTCTGCAGTACTGAAACGTACACTGATTAATATCAGATAAGATAGTATAATGCATACTCCAAGTGTCAAAATGCACATTATCGTGTCGTGATTCAATATTTCGACATTAATTATGTCATCATTAGGAATGAAAAATTATCCATATTTAATAAGTTGCCATTTATATTTTATTTTTACCTACCTGTCATTTGGGGCCATTTTTACCGGGGCAATTTTTACGAGTATGTCCCAACTAATAATTCAGTACCATAAATAATTAAAATCCAAGTGTGTAAATTTGAAAAAAGTGAAAGTAATTTGTATACAAATTCTAAATTTGCATAAATTACAGTATGTAAATTTCTAAAATAAAAAATTGTCTACTGTCAAGCACAGTATATTTTTAGAAACTTCAAATCATGTACTATGAAGTCATACATAATTTATTTTTCAAAAATCATTTTGAATTTTTTATGATCATGTTCTATTTTACATAGAATTACCCATTTGGGGGTTTGCTGTTGTTTATTTTGAATGCACAAAGTTGTAGGACAACAATATTGACTACAATTTAAAAATGATCTCTCTTTTGTATAAAATGTGATATGAAACCCACAAAATATCAGCTTACTTACCATAGACATTCATTTACTTAGCTATATATCAGACTGTCCGCTAGTTTTCTTCTGTACATTAGACATTTTAACATTTTCAGATTTGGCCAATTCACATTCATCTTCCAAATCTTGTACTTGCCAGTCAATCAATGAATATGGAATTCTGTGAATTAGCCATAATTTTTTTTAAAGGAGTTACCGTAAACAAATGATTGCAAAGTATCGATTCGTTGAATGTTTTTCACTTTCCAGTTCAATAAATTTCAACTGTCACTGACTGTTTTATCTTTTTTCTATTAATAATTAAGTAGGAAACATTTATTTTAATTATTTTAGTAAGTTTCTTTGACCATTAAAACATTGAAAATAAAGTAAGTGCCTTGTGTACATTCCTGTTTTACTGTATTGTTGGTTATTTTTACTGTCTTATTCAAGTTGAACTTTGTTACAAACTCTACATGCGACCAAAAAGCAATCTTCCCAACTTTCCCTTTATTTTTAACATATCACCAACACTAAAGATGTTTGAATCATTGAGACCAATTTTCCTTGTCTAGTGTCTCTGTGAACACCTGCATTTCAATACCTTGATGCTGAGATATGATGCTTGGCAGAGCAGATTTGTCAAAAATATCTTAGTGTCAAGTTAATTATTAGGTAATATTTTGCAATTATTGCAATGTACCTAGCATAGCAATATTAGAAACATCTTGTAATGCTTGACAAGAGAGATAAAATACTGTGTGTTTTATAATTTTATCAGTACACTTTATTAGTTTAGTGATGACAGTGTCCTTCTCGATATGGTGTGATGAAAATTTGTCCATTATAAACTTAAATAAATAAATGTTAAAATATTAAAAGTCAGTCAGTCACTCACCCACACACCCCCTAGATACACCACTTGTTTGGTCATTTCTTTTCATATGCCAGTATGGGCATAAATTGTATGTAGGAATAAAGTGGAGATCAACAGTCGTTTGGTATATGAACTTTGACTTGCAAAGAAATCACCTGACAAAATTGATAATGTTGTTAGCACACTTTAATGGTTTTAGTGACGACAGTGATAAGACAATTGGACAGTAATATACCTCCGTGTATAAACCAAACCTCCCTTTGTAGACAAGGACACAATTTAGGTTTAGCTAATTGGCTAAAGATATCAAATTATTAACTTGAACAAAACCAATTGTCTGGATTCACATGACTTATTAGTATTTTGCAATCATGAAAGCAAACTTTTTACTTCGTGGCCTTTTACAATTCCAGGCACCAAGCCGCAGCCCAAATGCACCAGGCACCAACTTTCCAAAACTGGCAAGAACTTTTGATCATCAAGCCTCCATGCATACAATAGTTTGACATCATTATCTGTTCTCTCAGTGACAAAATTTCATTGTATAGAAATTAAATAGTATTTTATCAAAGAAATAATACCGTACACTTGTGTTTTTCCTCCAACAATTGTTGATTGTTTTTATCTACCATGATTCAAATGAACACGGTTTAGCCACACACGTCATAGCTTTCTCCTTCCAAAAACTTTCACGCACACTCAGTCATTCTGCAACAGTAAATCTCTGGTAGGTTCAGGGAGGGGGGTTGATAACGTTACTTGATAGGCAAATTAATATTTTGGCACACCAATAAATGAAAAAAAAAACAATGTAGCCCTATTTTAGCAAGTACTGGTATTTAAAATTTTTTGATTTTAGGCTTTTGCAAAAATGGCTAAAAGCAGTTGATTTTTTTAATGCCAATCCAAAGTAGTAATCGCCCATGGCGACTTGGCGACCAGTTAGCGTGAGCCCAGAAAACCATAAATTTTCTCAATGCATGTGGTTTTGAATTGGAGGGCTAGCTGTATACCGGTATAATTTATTGAGATAATTATACTGATATTGCATTTTTGTATCTGTTTTTATTTATCTGCTCTTTTATATTTTATTCATATTTCATTCAAGTTCTTGAGAAATTTTTTGAATGAATATTTTAAACTTTGAAAACTTACCAAATGTATGTATTAAAATAACAATAATATCTGAAAACATTAACATTATTCAAAAGTATTTAATGAATGAATTAAAACACTGAGGAGTGTGACAAAAGTATTGTATAATCTGATTTAAAAAGATTTTTTGATTGTGGCTTTGTATATTATTGTATGTTTTCTTCAGATTTTAATTATTGTGAATCTAAATCTATGTATCTATCTATCAACGCCTGTTCAGCATCTGGATGAGGGCAGGGGCTTGAGATGAACCATTACACCGGGGTAACCCCTACTCGTCTCGAAAGATGTACCGGGTTCTTTATAGTGCACATGAGCCACTGTGTATACTGAGCCTACAATTTATAGTCCTTAATCCGAGAAGACTTGTTCCACCTCCAGAACCATAGCCGAGCTTGCCATTTGAAACAGCACCGATATTATGGCTGCAGGTTCAAGCCCATGTCATGTGACGATGTATAATGTATCTTCATTTTTATTATCAATTATAGTTTGTGAAATTTGTGAAGCTCACCAGTTTGAGTAGAGTATTGCTGTGAGAAGTAAAGCACACAAGAAGGATGAAGGAATCGGGTAAAATACAGTACATTGTATTAAATAATATAACCGTGTGGCATTAATATAGAATTGGCCTTCATGGCCCCATACCAAACATGTTTCAGTAGGTCTACTACCTACCATCAACAGTGAAAAATGTTCACCTTTGCAAAGTATATATACATATGCATATACCTGTACATAGGAATAACAATTAACAATAAGCGTGACAAGAGTTCAACCATAATAACAATTAAAACATTCATGAATAAAGATTGGCAAAATTAAAAGCGACAATTTTTAGTTTACATGATATAGTTGTTTAAGTGACGGTTGTTCCCATTGAATATGTAGCATTTCCTTTATTTTCTAAAGCTGCATTGTGAGGGCAGAGTCCAGTATGGTATATGTTTCAAAAGTCTGCTGCTTCCATCCATACTAATACTATAATTTATCAAATTATGAAAATATTAACAATATATTATGTATTGTGTGATCCTACAAAAAAAATTTACAAACCCAACCCCCCAAATACAGAACAGAAAATTTAAATAAAAAAATGGATTTCCTGTAATAAATGAAAAGTCAGAGAGATGTTGAAGGAACAAAAAATTAAAATGGATGTGTGGAGGAAAAAGAGAAAACATAATGTTGAGATAGATGTCAGAGAGCCTGCCAAAAAGCAACACACACACATTAAACTGCAGAATCTGGTCATTTGTATGTGAATTTTGTACATGAAACCAAAGATAATAAAAAGCAGAAGATAGAGCAGCTTCCCAATATAGTGAAGCATCCGTTCGAAATGCATTGTGGGTACACCGAGAGCAAACTTACCCTGTCTGCACAGCGGTGCTATATATCAATAATAAAGGCACGGCTTGGAGTTCGTTTGTTGCCTGTCAATGGTAAGATTTTACCCCGCTCACGGGAGGGTTGATGTTCCATCAATTTTAATGCAAATATGCGGAACAGTTCATTCTTCTGCTATTTAAGTTCTTTGATAAAAAATTCATTAAATGCTAATCATTTCATTATTAGGCCAAAAATAATGGTTTGTTTGCCCTTCTTTTTTTTTAAATGATAAATTGGGACAGGTGGAAAAAGTTTTTTTTTTAATTTATTTTTTATTTTTTAAAATAAAATACTCATCAGATAGAAAAATAATAACCCACAGAGGCATAGAATGGCAATATTTTACATCAGACAACACCTTTAGAGTAATTTGTAGAGCATCTGGTAAAAAATAAAGATATACTCACTCACATTATTTTTAATTTGTTAAGAAAAAAGTTTTAAAAAAAACTTTTTCTTTTTTTTTTGTTTTGCCGTTTCTTTTTTTTTCCAGTGAGTTGGGGGGGGGGTGTTGAGGGCAAACAAACAATTTTTTTTGGCCTTATCAATGATACTAAATAATATTATAATTTATATACGATTGCTATTACTGTACTATCATTGCAACAGAGTTAATGGAGATGCTGGGGAAAATTTCTGATGCAATCACCAAGCAAGATGAAAAGTATGTAGACATGTTGAGGGTTTTGTACAGAGATCTTGCAAATGTTAAAACAGAATTAGAGGAAGCTAAGTCTGCATTTGATTTATTCAAAAGACTGATAGCACCAGGAATTTTGAAGCCAACAGACATTTCTGTTTTGTTTGAAACAATTGAACTGACTGGATTGAAATATTTGATAGAGATAATCAAGACATATGAGACATATCCTGATGAAGTGAAGATCACTCGATTTACACCACATCGTCAACAGGTTGTTGCTCTGGGAAAAGACTTTTCTGTTAAAGACCTTCAGAAGGTTGGTCAGTTGTATGAAGGCAATTTTTCTAACCCATGGAAACTGATTCAACATCTTGAAGATGCATCTGTTCTAACTGAAAATAGCAGGGAGGGCTGATGTTCCATCAATTTTAATGCAAATATGCGGAACAGGGAGGTGGTGGTGTTGAGGGCAAACCAAACAATTTTTTTTGGCCTTATCAATGATACTAAATAATATTATAATTTATATACGATTGCTGTTACTGTACTATCATTGCAACAGAGTTAATGGAGATGCTGGGGAAAATTTCTGATGCAATCACCAAGCAAGATGAAAAGTATGTAGACATGTTGAGGGTTTTGTACAGAGATCTTGCAAATGTTAAAACAGAATTAGAGGAAGCTAAGTCTGCATTTGATTTATTCAAAAGACTGATAGCACCAGGAATTTTGAAGCCAACAGACATTTCTGTTTTGTTTGAAACAATTGAACTGACTGGATTGAAATATTTAAAGGAGACAATTGAGAAGTATGAGAGGTATCCTGATAAAGTGGAGATCATTCAGTTTTCACCACATCGTCAACAGGTTGTTGCTCTGGGAAAAGAATTTTCACTTAAAGATCTCCAGAAGGTTAGTCAGTTATACAAGGGCAATTTTTCTAATCAATGGAAACTGATTCAACACCTTGAAGATACATTTGATTTAACTGAAAATAGCATATTATCATTTCTTCAACGTTTGAAGGAGAATGATGTAAATGAAGGTACCGGTAAGTAAAAACTTTATATTTAAAATAGCCCAACATTTCTATGCATGTAGGACATAACATTAGGCCAAAAAAAAATCTATTGCCCTATTCTGACTGACTGTAAAAGTCAGAAATCTCGGGTCTGGAATTTTATTTTTTAATTTAACATAAGCTATGAAAAGCTATAAGTAAGATGCATTTTGATTGATTGAACTGACACATAAACATGCATGAGTATGTAGGCCTACAACAGCCATTTACGCCGAGTTAGAGTAGGCCTAAGCCTTCTTAGGTGGTTGTGGGAACGCAAACAGCAAAACAAAATAGTAGGTAAATTGTGCATTGAAGTTGCCATAGTAATGGGAATAATTGTTGTATGTAATTTTTTTAGAATTAAAGTTAACAAAAATTAAAGTTTAATTATCCAAATCAGTTATCCTCTGTTTCTAAAATTACTACAGTAGTCTCAGAGCTACTGTAGGCCTATTATATAATATACTGGAAAATTGGGAGGAGGGTGGAAGGTTTTTCTTTGATTTTTTTTTTTATGGAAATCACCATATACTAGGCTGAAAACCACTCATGGTATAGGCTAGATCAATATTTATATTTATTTAATTTATAAGCCATAAAATACCTGCACCTAGGGCTGAAACACAGCTAAAGCCTCTTAACCCGTCAACAGTGCAAGCAAGCAAGGGTAAAAGAAATCTGACCTACGACCCATCCAATTTTTTTATCCAAAAGTTCAATACAAACTTTTTTGCCCAAGTATTACATGAAAGTATACAATATATTTTCAATTATTTGATCATAGGTGAAATTTTCAATGAGACTTAGTTGCTCTGAACTGTATTGACAATATATCCATTTCAGAATGCCACCATTTTTTTTCTATTGAAGCTTTATCAACACAACTTATAGTTATTGTATTGTGAAATTAACAGTCTCCAACAAACTCAGGTCAAGAGAATTTGTGATTAAGTTTATAATAATTTTACTATTTAAATCTTACAATTTTTGTATACAGATTTTAATCAACTGCTTGTGAAGATATCTTATGCAATCAGCAAGGAAGATGAAAAGTATATAGATATGTTGAGGGTTCTGTACAAAGATTTTGCAACAATTACAACAGAATTGGAGGAAGCTAAGTCTGCCTTTGATTTATTTCAAATACTCAATGTAGCAGGCATTTTGAAGCCAACAGACATTTCAGTTTTGTTTCAAACAATTGAACTGACTGGATTAAAGTATTTGAAGGAGATAACGGAGAAGTATGAAACATACCCAGCGGAAGTGAAAATTGCTCAATTTTCGGAACATCGTCAACGTGTTGTTGATCTTGGAAAAAAATTTTCAACCTTAGATATTCAAAGGATTGGTCAGATGTACAAAGTTCCAGATGGCTTCTGTTCCAATTCATGGAAACTAATCGCATTTCTTGAAAGTGAGGGTGTTGTTTCAGAAGTTAACTTTTCATCGTTTCTCAAGAATTTTGAATGTGTTGGTGAGTATAATGATTATTGATTTGTTTTTTACCACAATAATTAATTTTTTTTAGTCTGATTAGTTTTAAACTTAGCAGAATGCAAGATGGTGTATGAAGACAGAGCCTTTTTTTATGCTAATTGCTCATTTGCATAATTATTATTTCTCTAAACAGGTAATTTAAGTTATTTACGATGATTACTAAAGTTTGGCAAGTTTGATTGGTTTCAAACTTGGCAAAATACAAGGTGGTAATAACTAGATAGAGCTTATGGTTTTTGGTATGTGTGTGAATATGCTAATTGCTCATTTGCATAATTTATATTTTACTAATCACAAAATCTATGCTACATGCTATCATAATTCCCAAAGAAAAATTATAATTTTAGTAAAATTGTAATATTTGTTCATGTTGTTGTCGTCGTCCCCGTTGTAGTAAATTGTTTGTTACACGATAAGGCCAAAAAAATTGTTTGTTTGCCCTCCTCCACTTACCCCTAACTCACTGAAAAAAATAGGGGTGGAAAAACAAAAAAAAATTTAAAAAAATGTGAGTGAAGTTATCTTAATTTTTCGCCAGATGCCCTACAAATTAATCTAAAGTTGTCTGATGTAAGATATTGCCATTCTAGGCCTCTGTAGGTTATTTTCATTTCATCTGATGATCATGAGTATTTAAAAAAATTAAATAAATTTAAACAAAATTTTTCCACCCACCCAAAAAAGGAGGGCAAACAAACAATTTATTTTATTGGGCCTAACTAATGTTTGGTAAGGCGCAGTGTAAAAGGAGCATTTCTAGTTTAATGATTTGATTGATTTGCAACTAAATTTAAAATACTGTTAATGTTAAATTAGCTATATGAATCTCAGAACCCAAATTTTCTTTCATTTCTTTTAATTTACGGTACTAAAATTCAAGGCCTAGAATTTTGGTGTCAATATCGCTCAGTTTATAATTTTTTAAAATATGAAATGCTTTGTAGTGCAATCATTTTAACATAAACACTAGTTTGGCTTTAATTTTGTATAGGCCTAGGTATAAGCCTAGTAATATTAAAATTTTAAAAAATTTAATGTTAGTTCTTAAATAATTGTTTTTAAACAGAAAACCCCTCCTTTGGGACACCCCTATTCAGGGGACACTTCCGTAAAACAAGTGGAAATAATATATCTTTTAACACTACGACCAGCCCAGGACATCCCTATTAAGAGGACAGGGACATTCTCTAAGTTTACCAAATGGTCAAATCAATATATTTTTAACCCTATTAAGGCTGGACAGCGAGGGGTACAATAAACTTAATCATCAAACCAAAATTCTTTCCTCTGATTATCTAGAGTGGACATTGGTATGTATTCCTAGTTCATGTTTTACTGTAGTTTATATAATACAATCTTTTTAATTTTGACAATTACCATGGGGATTTCTTGTTTATTGTGTATGTGTACAGCCTGCATCCTGATTTTTTGTAATTGTAATGAATCAGAATCTACATGTCATCACTGTATTAAATCATGCTAAAAAAGGGGACAATTTCATGTTTAGTCAGTGTCCCCTGAATTAGGATACCCCTATTCAAGGGACACTTTTTGGGTCCTAATGGTGTCCCCTTAAAGTAATAGGGGTTCTACTGTATTACACTTAGAGTAAAGGTTGAAAAATATCTGGACCGGATTTGAATTGTACCAAAAATTATATAATGACAAAAGCTCATATTTTACGTGTTTGTATTAAATTGTAGGCACTAATCATCAGAGGTCGAGGTGCCAATTCAACATCAAACTCTACCTAACCATTTAGTTTTTATGATTATATACAGTAACATATTGATCTCTTTATTTTTTAAAATCCATATTAATTTCATGTTTATCAAAATTAGGAACTTATTTATTTTAGATATCGCTGTTGCAAAAAAACACAAAGGTAGGTACCATGGTACTCAAAAAAATGCACACTATTGTTTTGCTCATTATGCCCTATGATTTATTCTTTTTACAGACAAGTCAAGAAGATCAAGGTTGGATGAAGGTGTGTAATATATTTAATGTAACCTTTTTTAACATTATATTGACATTTAAATACAAATACATCCTAATAAAACCAAATTATACATAGATAATTACTTAGTAGTTACTTGTTGCACACTATATAGTAATAGTGGTGGCTATAAAATGGTGGTATTTCTAATACCAAATGTACAGTATTTTGTACGTATTTTTTTTCACAGAATACTTGACCACTATAACTATTTCTGACACCACTAATCCCATGACCTCAAAAACATATATAGACAATATTATCCCCAAAATATGATTTTAGATAAAAAAAAATTATGACCTTATTCATGTATTTTAACCACCAAAGTTGTCATTTCTCTCCCCCCCCCCCCAACTCAATTTTGTTTTTTGGCCCGCACTGTCCCATTTTTCAACCGATTTTCTTAAAAAAGGTGTAAAGATGTTCAGGACAATAAAACCTGTACATTTGTTATTTGAAATATCACCCTTTTTTTTACTCTGTATAGCCTACTACTATTAGTAAGTAACAGTACAATACAATACTGGCAATACAATACATAAATAAATGTGGATGGCAGGTGTATACATTCCCGTTTCTAAGTTGTAATTAACCTTGTCAGTCAGATTTCTGGAGCCACCATTGCACATTAACTAGAAGTCGGCATACATCTTTCATGTACACATAGTCGGTGTACATTGTTTGATATAACTAGTCAGAGTACATCTTTTGATGTAACTAGTTGGCGTACAGCACACTGGTGCACTGTACTTTGTTTTTTGCATTGCAAAGACGACTTTTTGGTTTACAACATTGTAGAGGCTGTTCATAGATGCCGTGATTTGGCTTGCCACAGTGATATAATTCAGAGAGGCGAAGTAGTAAAACTTCAGACTATTGAAAAGGCTGTAAAAACAAATGGTTATGGAGTTGGTTGGATACTGGTTAGATCGGACAGTAAGAATGTAGATGATGAAACTTCATATGAATGTAAAGAGTTAGTAGGAGACTACTGTACATTCGGAAAATTAATTTGGCATGATGTTACTGTTCTTTGTGTAAAATGGAGATCAAGTATGGCGAAGGTTTGAAAAACATCAAAGAGCACATCATCATTTGTGGATTCATTTCTTTCCTTGCCGTTGTGTCCTATTTTATTTAAAATGCTAATAGTTACAAAGTAAATGCTAATAGTTACAAAGTAATACAAAGAATCATTTTAACAGTTGAAGTACCCTAAAATGCAGTCTTTTTGAACCTCAGAATTACAAAAATTTACCCACCCCCTCGGTCACTGCGTTCCCTCGTGCCGAGGTTTCAGTAAAAATAAAATTTTCTCACTCACATTTTTGATATAATTTTTTTCAAAAAAACATATTAAAAAAAAGCAATAATTTTTACAGGAAGCCTTCAAAAACTTGTTATGTAATTAGGCATTTATTGTAGGACTACCATTGTATTGTAGACTAGGAGGGGGGCCTGGGTTGTGTTCTGAATATTTCTTTTCTGAGGACTGGCGTGGTTAGGCCAATGTACAGTTCAAGGAAACTTAATTGTAATAATAGGCCTAGTGGGAACTAAGCTTAAGAGAGGTTGCCGGCAGCCTGTTTTAAACAATTTTGTAATCTTTTTTTTTTTTAGTTAACAATTTTTAATGAAGTATTTGATTCAGCAAAAATACCTACTAGTTGGTCAAACATTATAATAATTTACAATTTTTAATCGGGAGATAAAAACCTACCTAGAACTACCATAGTGTTAATGTGTATTAAAAGCATATTACGAAAATGTAAACAGTTGTGTTCATACAAAAAATATAAATTTAAAAATGTTTTACAACAAGGATGTATTTTATCTCCATTTGTTTAAATGTCTTTCAGTATTGGAAACTAAGAATTTTAGAATGAAGATGTAAAAACAGAGTTGAATTTAAGTATAGAGTTTGTATCTATAATAATGGGAGTGTGGAAAATGAGCTACATTTTCTTCTGTTCTGCAAGATAGTAATCTAAGGAGAAAATATTTACCAGCTTATTTCAATACTTGCCCAAGCCTTGCAAAATTTGATCTACTATATTTTTTAAAACACTACTATTATTAGAAAAATATGTTTATTTATTCATTATGCTTTTAAACATTAAAGGAAATGATTGGCATTTGAATTGTATGTTACATGCTTTATTTTTATCATTGTTACATCAAGATATTATTTTTAAATGTATATTTTATTTACAAAGGGCTGGAGGCCTACAGTTTGAAATAATGATGACAGTTTAGTGTTTGATTTAATCTTTTTCAGATGAAGGTATCAAACAATTTTTGACAAACAAACTGAAAAGATTGTATCGGAACGAAAACCAAATAACACCAGCAATCTGGCACAAAAAGCATGCAGTAGATATTGCAGAAGTATTCACTGAACTCAGCTTACTCAAATCTGAAAAAGAAGATGAAGCAAAACTCAAGTCAACAGGTATAATACAGGAAGGTAAACAAACAACATTAAAAAAGGTATTAGATGTTATTAGATCAAAAGATTCATGTAAGTTATTGATAACAGGAAAAGGGGGGATAGGCAAGACTACACTTCTTAAATATATTACTCACAAATGGGCTACTGATAAAGATGATACTTTTGTTGGTAAATTACTGTTTTTGATTAGTATTGGAAACATTAGAACAAAAACAAAATTCTTGGATGTAATTTTGGAAAACATAGATATGGAAGAGTATAGTCTTCAGAACAATTTGGTTGAAAATGATCCAGTTAAAAGATTCAAAAGATTCCTGGTCAACCATGCTGATGATGTAGTTATTTTGTTAGATGGGTATGATGAGTTACAAAAAGATGCTAAGGACCCTATATATCTGTTCAAAGGTCTTGAATTAGAAAAAAGTGCTGTAGTGATAACCTCCCGACCTGAAAACATAATTGATTTGGTAAAATGTTGTACCGTACATGTTGAAGTGAATGGATTCAGTGAAGGAAACATAATGAAGTACATAACAAATCATTTTAACTTCATTGAAAAAGAAGATTTGGGGAAATTACTATCTCGGACGTTAAGAGGTTATGATCATAAAGAGGCATTTGAATTGTGTTCAACCCCACTGTTATTGCTAATGATTTGTACCATGTGGGAACAAGAGCAACATCTTCCAAAGGACTTGTCAGATCTTTTAAAAAAGCTGATTTGTTCCATTTTAAGGCAACATAAAGTCAAGAGTAATTATGAAACTGCAGCTGACTTTTCCCAAATTGAGAGAATTCCAGAGAAGTATAGACGTGCGATTCTGCTATTAGGAGGATGTATGTATGAAGGGCTAAAGGAAAATAAATTGTCTATTGACAAGTATGTTTTATCAGAGATGAACCAGAATTCAAAGTCAGAAGTTGAAGTAGATTTCGCACTGGAACTTGGCTTTGTTTATGAAGATCAAGCCCCCGTTAACCGAAGTGACACAAGGGAGATTTTCATACCCCCACACAAGCTTATTTCAGAGACACTAGCGTGTTTGTACCTGACTAACCAAATTGAAAAAGAATGTTTGAAAGCTGATGAATATGAGGTGATAAGGTCTAATAAATATTTAAATGTGACAAGAGCGTATACTTTAAAATTTCTTGGTGCTAAAGCTGGTAAATTACTGAATCATTGGTTAATAATCCGGGCTTCAAATTATTACTCAATAGCACAATGTTTCACATATATCAAGGATGAAAATGAAGAATGCGTAATGAATGAATTAGATACAAACATGTCCACTGAAATGAAATTATACTGTGAGAAAATGTGTGAGACACTTAAAAGTGTTCTTGAAGTTAAAAGACGAAAAAAGGAGCCATTATTCAAGCTTATGAATAGATGTTGCATTGAATATGAACGTAAATGTGAAACACTTGAAGAGAAAATGGTATCTTTGGTAGATACATCCAGTGAAGATTCTGTCAGAAAGTCATGTAGAAGTGTTGTACATATCTCGGTTATAGTACAAGGACTAAATGAGGGTCAAGTATATGGATTGAAACGACACCATTTATTTAGACATATTTCAAATTGGAAGGATAATAACATCGGCATCCTTTCAGCTGAGATGAAATACCTCCAATTAAAATATAGTGACTCTACCATCAATTTAGACTTTAAGTTTAATTCATCATTTTTAATTCATCTCTTGTCACATTCTGATAACCTATCTACCTTAAAGGTAGCTAATGATAGGCTTACTGAGGCTATACTCAGTGTGGTTACCAAAGAGTTACGCAAAACTCAAGTGAAGTTAAAATTAACAGAACTTGATATAAATCATACTGATCTACATAATATTGATGGGACAGTACTAGGAAAACTATTTGAAATAGCTCCTAAACTAATTGATCTAAACATAAGTAGTTGTAGACTATCGGGTGATATTGTGAGGGCAATGATTACAGAATGTCAGAATAGTGGAGCTGAATTAGAAGGATGCAAGCTTGACATTAGCAATAATGACATTGATGATGCAATATTGGGTGATATACTTGAAGTGTATCCTAATATATCCAGTCTTAAAATAGCTTCATGTGGGCTTTCGGAGGAAAGTTTTAATAAGATGGTGGCTAATGAATTTCCTGCAATTGAATTATGTAAACTTGATTTCAGCCAAAATGATCTAAGAAAGTTAGATGGAGAAATTTTTGGAATATTATTACAAAAACTTCCCAAACTTAATCATTTCAGCATAAAGAGATGTATTTTATCAGGCAGTATTTTTAATGAAATGATGGAGAAATGTAGTAGGATAAAAGTTGTATTGAAAGACAACATGCTTAACTTGAAGGGCAATGACCTCTCGGATATTGATAGTAGATCACTTGCAGAGTTAGTCAGGGTGATGCATCGGCCTTATGATAATACTTTCACATGGAATGATTATTCTCTTACAGATGATAACATTAAAAAGCTTGTTCAATCAGTAAGTGAAAATATGACATTGAATTGGAGGAGGATAGATTTGAGAAAGATTAACCTATCTTCAGTCAGTGGTAAAACATTAGCTCAACTTCTGAAAGTCTCTCCTGACTTACTCTATATTGACATGGGTGTTTGCAGTTTATCAGGCAGTACTGTTAATGAAATGATGGAAGAATGTGGTAGGATGAATGTAGTATTGAAAAACAGCATGCTTAATCTTGAGGGCAATGACCTTTCAAATATTGATGGTAAATCACTTGCAGAGTTAGTCAGGGTAATGCATGTTCCAACATTATGGTAGGATTCTCTCGTGGAGCATTTTTCTACCTCGTAATAAAAGAGTGGTTGATATTGATGATGCTTTCAGATGGAGTGATTATTCCCTTAGAGCTGACAACCTAGAGAGGCTGGTGAAATCCTGTGTAAATAAAACTTTGAATTGGAAAAGGATAGATTTGAGTAAAATTAACTTATCTTTAGTCAGTGGAGAAGCATTAGCTTATCTTCTAAAAATCTCTCCAAACCTAATCCATATTGACTTGAGTGCCTGCAGTCTATCAGGCAGTATTGTTAATGAAATGATGGAGGAATGTAGTAGGATGAATGTAGTATTAAAAGATAACATGCTTAATCTGGATGGAAATAACCTTTCAACTATTAATGGTAAATCATTTGCAGAGTTAGTCAGGGTAAATTATCGTCCTCGTCGTGGAGGATTAAGGTATTGTAATTTTTTTACAGGTAGAATCTCAAAAGAGCCTACTATTGATAATACTTTCAGATGGACTAAATATTATTCACTTACAGCTCATAATCTAAAACAGCTGGTTGAATCAGTAGGTGAATCTATAACATTGAATTGGAAAAGGATTGAATTTGGTGGGATAAACCTCTCTTCAATTAGTGGAACAGAATTGGCTTGTCTCTTGAAGATCTCTCCAGACTTATTCTATATTGACATGAGTCATTGCAGATTATCAGGCAGTATTGTCAATGAAATGATAGAGGAATGTGAAAAGATGAATGTAGAATTAAAAGACAGCATGTTTTGTCTGTATGGCAATAACCTTTCAGATATTAATGGTAGATCTCTTGCAGAGGTAGTCAGGGTAATGTGTTATCCTACTAATTTCACAAGGCATAACCTTTTATTTCCAGCAAAACACTCAAAAATGCCTGATAATGATACTTTCAGATGGAGGGATTATTCTCTTACAGCTGATAACCTAATAAAGCTGATTGAATCAGTAGGTGCAAGTAAGACATTAAATTGGAAACGGATAGATTTCCGTAAGATTAACCTGTCTTCAATTAGTGGAAAAAATTTGGCTTGCCTTTGTAAAGTCTCTTCAGACCTGATTCACATTGACATGAGTCATTGCAGATTATCAGGCAGTATTGTTAATGAAATGATGGAGGAATGTGGTAGGATGGATGTAGAACTAAAATACAACATGTTTTGTCTGTGGGGCAATAACCTTTCAGATATTAATGGTCCATCACTTGCAGAGGTAGTCAGGGTAACCTGCTATCCTACTAATATCACAAAACATGGCTCTGTATTTCCAGCAAAATACCCCAAAACACCTAATGATACTTTCAGATGGAGTGATTATTGTCTTACAGTTGATAACCTAGAAAAGCTGGTTAAATCAGTAGGTGGAAATAAAAGATTGAATTGGAAAAGATTAAGTTTGAGTAGAATTAACTTATCTGCAATCAGTGGAAAAAAATTGGCTTGTCTTTTAAAGATCTCCCCAAGATTGATTTACATTGACATGAGTCATTGCAGTTTGTTAGACAGTATTGTTAATGAAATGATGGAGGAATGTGGTAGGATGAATGTAGTACTGAAAGACAGTATGCTTAATCTTGATGGCAATGAGTTGCAGAGTCAGGGTAAGGCGCAATAAAAAAAATGATTAATTAATAAAAATTAATTAATTTTGTTAATTTTTAAATTAACTTGCTTATTTTGCAGTAACAAATTATTAACTTGAGCATAGAAATTATTTAATTAAACAAATGTGTTCTCTGTTTTTTCTTTAACTGGATAATTATAATAAAGATTAATAAAATACTTCCAGTGACTGGAAGTGTTTCTATCATTTTTTTCGCTGTAAAATAATGGTTTTTATGGGTAAGCATTTTTTTTTTGGTCCCGTGTGCATCTATGGCCCATGTGCACATTAAAGAACGCAGTACTATCTTCGGAAAAGAGTAGGGGATTGTCTACCGGTGTACTGTCTAATCACCACCAGAAATAAGTCTTCTTCTAGACTTTCGTGGGCTATTCTTGGTGTTTACACCGAATAAATCAAATCCAAAATACACTAATTTCTATGTTCAAGCTGAGAATGTTTATGTTACTTTAAAATAGGTGGTATTTTTTTACTGATGATTATGTTGGAAGGCATGTATAACCTGTACTTTAGGTGTTGAACTATCTTTGTCTTTGTACATTCCTGTTGGGCTTTATTATTTTCAATGTGGATTTGTTGGAATTCTTTATGGCCATACTGTACTTCATGTGATGTAACCAATCTTGTCAATTTTATACCTGCCAACTTTGTTGGTGCCTGATCCATGAGACAAAAAATAAATAAAATGTGTAAATAGTGCCCCCTGTGCAAGGGCTTAACCAGTGAGCTACTCGGCCGTCTTTTGGATGGCTAACAGTTAATTATGACGGCCACTTCTACTGTGACGGCTTGGCTATCTTTAGCAAATAACACCCACCCACTCTCACTCGAGGTTTCGCTACTCGGCTATTGCTGTGCGACAAGTTCTTTGTCTTCCATTTTTATTTCTTTTTTCTGGCTAAACCCATGTCTGTATGTAATAATGAAATAGAGTGCCCTCCGTTATTCTTTTAATTGTTGGTTCGTATTATCATTCATGGATGGAATCATGAAGCAATAACAGTACTGTTGTTATAAAAAACATTAATGTTAACATTGTATTATATTATATTGCATTTGTTGTGAAGATTGTTGTTACAAACTACCGTACTCGTGTGAATAAGCGCCCGGGCGCTTAAAATATTTTTTGCACTTTCTGAGGGATGCTTATTCAAATGAGGCACTTATTTAAACGGGGCACTTATGAAAACATGAGTGGAAATTGAGGGCGCTTATGAAATACAGTAGATGAAAATCAAGGGGTTCTTATAGGAAATGATTAAATTCAAGAAGCACCTTTTCAATGAAAAAAGATTATATAAGGACATTACAAATGGTGGTTAGAAAAGATAATCGTCCAGAAAACATGGCTCATGGCAAAAATGCATGAAAATTTACATAACAGCAAAATAGCAAATTCAATTAGTGGTGGTGGGTAGTGGTTAGCTTGTTGGCCATCGCCCGATTGAGATTAGCAGGATGGCAGCATTATTGTATTTTTTTTCTTGAAAACATAGATGAGAATGTGCTAAAGTCAGAAAAAGAAGAGGAGGATTAGGACTTGCATAGACAAATAGTGTGAAAAGTATGAAGTTGGAAATATATACTGTCTGTCCAGGGATCGGAGCTCTCGTCTGTCCAATAGAAATATCCTCAGTTTGATATTGAATGAAGAAGAATGTGTTTCGACTCTACGGCTCAAATCATGCCAGCAACCACAGTCCCAGGATTGATTGGATTATTGACTTGCTAAAAAGAAAATATTATGAGGGGGCGCTTATTCAAATTAGAAGGGGACGTTAATTTAAAAGGGCTGTTTAAGAAAATTTTCACGTTATGAAGGGCGGATATTCGAGAGGGGTGCTTATTCAAACGGGGCGCTTATTTGCACGAGTACGGTAATTCTATTGTAAATATCATTTTAAAAAAATTAAACTAAAATTATAAATGATCTATATCATCATTTTTAAGTTGATGGCTGCATACCATAACCCCTATTAAGGAAAAAAATTTCATGTTTTCAATTAATTTCCCCTATTCAGGGAGCAGTCTATTATGGGGACTTTTTTTGTTAATTAAGGACAGGTGTCATGTTACAAATATTAATGGTGTAATGTCAAATGTTTGTAATAATGTTTGTGGAATTCCACAGGGCTCCATTCTTGGACCCTTACTTTTCCTACTATATGTAAATGACCTTCCAAGAGTATTAAAAATGTAAATATTAGTATTTATGCAGATGATACATGCATGTATTATTCATCTCCTGACATTAATAATATCGTTGATTTAATTAATCAGGAGCTTATAAATGTTCAAAAGTGGCTTAAAATTAACAAACTCGGCTTAAATATTAATAAAACTGAATATATGAACATAGGGACACATCAGAAGCTTTCTAAGATTTCTAACAGTGATATCAAAATTGATGAGCAAAGTCTAATGAGGGTAAAGAGTTGTAAGCACCTTGGAGTAGGTATTGATGAAAACCTCACATGGGAAAACCATGCTGATCATGTAAAGGCTAAGGTTTTGCCAGGCTTGTACTACCTAAGAAAGTCAAATGCATTAGTCTCTCAAAAAATTCAAAGTAATATATACAAAACTATCATAGTTCCACACTTCTACTACTACAGTGTCGTTTGGAGTAATTCAATGAAAAAAAAATATTTTGATAAACTGCAAAACCGTGCAGCAAAGATTATTACAAGATCTTCACGATGCGACTCCAGTACTCAAGCCTTACAAGACCTTAATCTACTTAAACAAAGAATGCACAATACTGAAGCAATATCTATGTATCAAATCTTCAATAACAATGTTCCATCATATCTTTCTAACTGCTTTCACCTAAGAGAAAATAATTACAATACCAGACTTGCCAATGGCATTCCTAAAGTGAACATCGAGTGCAAGAAAATTAGCCTCTCATATCATGGTGCTATACTGTACTTTGGAATGACCTTTCCGATGAACTTAAATGTTCTTCCAATCTTCATAGTTTCAAACAAAGTCTTTATAAAAATTGTTGATTTTATCCATTGTCATCCTTGAAACTTAGAAATACCGAGTTGGTGTCCAGCGGGGTATAGTTTCACTGGTAGTTAAGATTTTATGTTTTTGTTGTTTTCTTTAATTCATTTTCTTTTCAATAATTTTTCTTTTCTTTTCTAATTATGTATGGCCTTGCATGGCCTTGATGAAAAACACCCATGGGTGATTCAAGTGTCTCCGTGTTTAAATAAAGTATATTACTATTATTATTGTTATTATCATCATTACTACTACTACTACTGTATTATACTTAATCAGTGTTCTTATTTTTTTGCTGACTACAGGCTCAAAAATGTTGTTATTTTGTTCTTTTTTTACACACTTTTCAAAGATAGAATATTATTTAAAATGCAGTATAATCCTATAAAGTCACACCTTCTGTTTTTTTTTTATGTAAAGAAAATTTTAAAAAATATTTAAAAGTTTACCTCAGCCTTATTTCGTTCTTAAGTTTTAAGCAATTTCAGCCTTAGTGATCTTATAAAAAAA